AAATTTCCATTTCGCGTGTTCCGGAGTTTTATTTATTTATTTATTTATTTATTTATTTATTTATTTATAACGTTATGCTTAAGGCAAACGTGAGAAATACATAGTTAACAATTCGCATCTAAAATTACAGACAGATCCAAAAAGAAACTAGAGCTCACTGAAATTCAACAGTTCCACCTTACTTAGGCGCTTGAAAAGCCGGAAGGCCGGAGATGCTATCACCACTGAAGTTTTGAGAGACGTGAATTCAGACCCTGCTCGGCAAGTGAAGCTATGCCTCTTAAATTCGTTTTCGGCGTGGCATACGATATCTTGATTGACCATCCTCTAGTTCTAGAGTTAACTATACCATAGAATTTAGAAGCGTCAATTTTAGCACTACCAGCCAGCAGCTTAAAAGACTTGCATAATTTACATCTAATAAATACCTTTACTTACGTAGAAACGAAGAGTGTGTCAGATTTCGAAAACTTCCCCCTTTTCCCTCTCTATTCTACGAGACACCTGGGGTAGTCTAGAATAATTGTGCTCTCCAGACCTGATGAATAATCCCACTAGGTCTAAGCCTAACAGCCTAAAAGGAATTCATCCTTTTAGGCTGTTAGGCTAGACTCTATTGTGGACTTCCGACAGCGTCCCTCTCCCAACACATGCGCTTCCGACAATTGTCTTATACATATATGTCACATGTATTCTTTGCATCGAATATACATAAATTTAGTTTGGTCATTCTCTTCAGGCATTTATAATATAGGATAGCAGGCGCTTAGCGTCGAGATATACGCTTCATAAGCGATTCATACCGAATCGAGCATTTAGCACTTAGATACATGTTTGGCCTTGTTCAAAGAGTTCAGCCCATGCATAGGTCAGATTTTGACTCCGTCATTTCGGTTACGGTTCGTGGCGCGATGTGCCTTTGGGGGGAGGGGAGGGGTAGTCTTTCGGAAGGCTACAAGGACATAAGGGACGAATTTCGGAGCGATGAAAATGCTTACGCAGCGACGTTGCTTACGCAGCAAAAATTCCCTCTTCTCCTACAAAGCTTAGCCCCAAAACACTGAGCAAATCCGTGAATTTGACGCCAAGTTTTCGGCTGCCCCCCCCCCGGAGCGCACATTGCGCCCGGTTCATTTATGACTCGAACCATTTGGACAAGATGATTATCAAATGCTCCGTAATCACATTCTCATGCAATGCTGAATCTTCTTCTTCTTCTCTATTCAGCGTTTGTCCCGTTTGTTGGCGGGGTCCGCTTTTCTGATATGCTGACGCCACTTTTCCCGATTAAATGCTTGGTCGGGGTGTATGTTAACCGACTTCAAGTCTGTGTGCAACGTATCGAGCCAGCGCTGTTTCGGGCGTCCCTTAGGCCGTTTTCCGGACACGTCAAGGCTGAAGCTGATCTTACGGACACTGTCATCTTTTGCACGAAGAACATGACCGTACCATCGAAGACGGGCTTCGCGCATCTTGTCGGCAATTGGAGCCACACCGAATCGTTCTCTGATGACTTCGTTTCGAATGTGGTCTAGTCGTGTGACTCCAGCTGTCCAACGCAGCATCTTGTCTCCATCACACTGAGACGGGCTTCGACTTCTTTAGTCGCAGGCCAGCACTCAGCACCGTAAATCGCGACTGGCCGGATGACGGTTCTATAGATCTTAGATTTGAGACGTTCTGGTATGTTCTTATCGCACAGAACGCCAGTCATTGCGCGCCATTTCGACCACGCTGCACTCACGCGAGAATTCGCTTCAGAAGCCAGACTGCCATCAGCCGCGATTGCTGATCCAAGATACTTGAATGTCGTTGTGCGTGTAAGCTCAGTACCATTGATATTGATAGAGCCTGGCTCACACGAATCGGTGGTCAAGTACTCGGTCTTTTTGACGTTCAACCTGAGCCCGAACATAGCCAGGCGGTCGGACCAGGTTTGCACTTGTTGCTCGAGAGTGCTTTTATCTTCGCTGGCGAGCATTACATCATCAGCATAAAGAAGCGTCCATGGAACCGGCTTCTGAATGTCTCTCGAAATGGCAATAAAGGAGTGGGGATAGCGCAGAGCCTTGGTGTACCCCGACAGAGATGGGAAAATCCATCGAAGTGCCTGCTGCCGTTTGCACTCGGCTCTTTGGACTCGAGTAGAGAATGCGCACCCACTCAATAAGCTCTTCGGGAACGCCATGCTGTCGTAAGGCATACCATATAACCTCACGTGGAACGCGATCGAAAGCCTTCTCCAAGTCTAGGAAGGCCAAATGCACCGGTCTTTGTTTTTCGCGATGTTTCTCTAGCAAGAGGCGAGCGGCGTGGATGGCATCGATGGTGCTGCAGCCAGCCACGAAACCACACTGGTTGGTGGTCAGATCAACGATGTCCCGGATTCGACTGTCTACAATTCGCTCAAAGATTTTCATGCTGTGCGAGAGCAGGCGAATTGGACGGTAGCTTGTGCAGTCTCCAGGACTACCTTTCTTCTTCCAGATGGGAATCGTCGTGCTTTGTTGCCAGCTCTCAGGCACCTTCTTCTCTGCAATGATCTGGTTGAAGAACTTCGTCAACCATTCTGCAGGATTCCAGCACTTGGACTTCCACAAGTCGGCCGCTAGGTCATCGGGACCGGTTGCTTTGCCTGGCTTCATCTTCTTCAAAGCCATTATGGTCTCACTCACGGTTATCTTCTGAACGGGACCGTGTACTGGTGGAGCAAGAGGGATGGCAGGATGGGCAAATTCAACTGTTGAGATGCTTTCGAAGTAGTCGTGCCATCGCTTCAAAGTTTTCTTGCGATCCGTCAAAAGCTGGCCATCTTCGTCATTTATGCCAAAGAACTTTTCTATATCCAAAAAAAAAAATCGAAGTTATACGAGCGATGGCGGGAATTTGCGAGTCGGTAAACGTACCGCTCTCCGTCACGCGACTCGAGTTTTTCGTTGACATCAGCGAAATGAGCTGCTTTTACGGAAGCGACGGCCTTTTTTGCCTCTTTCTTTGCTATCACATAGCTCCGCCAGTTATCAGCTGTCTTTTCCTTTAGAAAAGCGTGGTACCGCTTCTTCTTCTCACGCACTTTCTCTCTGACCTGGTCCGTCCACAGCCACGTTTGCTTATCAATTCTCCGACGTCCAGGCTTCGTAACGCCGAGCTCGGATCGAGCTATCCGAGTTATTTCTTCGGCTGCACCTTTCCAAGTTTCGTCGACAGTCGTAACCGCCGGTAGTCGAAGGCGAGAAACTACAGTCGCTTCTTTTTCTTTCAGTCGCCACACCATTTGATTCTCGCTGGCCCACACCTTTCAGCCAATTTCTGTTTTGGCGGAGCGATCTTCAGCGTGCAGATCAGTGGTCGGTGTTGTGTGACGACCGTTTCATAAGGTACTACCTTAGCGTCTGTTACGAGCCCCTTGATCGCGGTGCCTGACAAGGACGAAGTCAATTTGTGATCTGGTTTTACCGCTATAAAAGGTGATAAGATGGGATTCACGTTTCCGGAATTTTGTGTTTACAATGGCGAGGTTATGCGATTCCGCATATTCAAGAATTCGCTCGCCATCAGTATTACGTGTCCCATATCCAAAACCACCATGACAGTTATAACCGTCTTTCGTAGCGCCCAAGTGACCATTGAGGTCACCTGCAACAATTATGGCTTCTTGTGACGGTACCTCAGCTGTCTTCTCATCAAGCAGGTTCCAGAACTTGTCCTTGGCTTGCTCGGAGCATCCAGTCTGCGGAGCGTACGCAGAGAAGAAGTGGTATTTTTGTCGTTCGATGACGACAATGATCTTCATTAAGCGGTCATCGAAGCGCTCCACGCTCACTATCGAATCACGGAAGCGTTCAGAGACAATCATCCCGACGCCGTTGGTGGTTTTGGGACCGCCACAGAGAACGGCTTTGAAGCCGCGGCCAATGTCCCTCGACTTGCAGCAGGACCACCTCGTTTCCTGCACGGCACAGAAGTCAATTCGTCGGCGCTCTAGAGCTTCTGCTAACTCGTACGAGCGGCCCGTTAGTGTGCCTAACATTTAACGTCGCAACGCGAGTCTTCCATACGTTGCGGAACTTTTGGACTAGCCTAGTTGCCCCCCCGATGCCGTCCTTGCACCGGAGACCCTCGCATACTTTTCACACTCGCCGGGCTTTGCGAGTGCGCGTCGGCTCCCGCGGACGCCGTAGCATTATCTCGAGATTCATTTAGCGACATGACATTTGTGATGTGACGTGGGTGTTCGTAGGCCGGCCTGTCACGGGGGCCTGTCGCCTGCATTCGAATGTCCGTGTTCAGCTCAGCTCACAAAAGTGAGCAGTTTCCAGTGGCACCACTTGGAGGAACGGACATCACCACCACAACGTATTCCGTATTGCATACAAAGAAGCAACTCCTTGTAGAATAGGTGTCTCTTACTTCCTGTGTCATCGTGCGTCGACCTGATCGTGGAGTCATCGTTTTGATGCGTCGATTACGCCTACTCCGCATTCCCTTTGGCTCAATTCATAAAACTGGCTCCTAAGCTGTTTCGTAATCGTTACTTCATCATGCAATATGTGCGTCACATGAAAAAAAAGGACTTCATTCAACAGTAACCTGACTACTCACACAACTTTGTCTCACTTTGAGACTGAACTGTTAGAAAACCATCCTTTCCATTAACATCTCCAGCGCCCAATTTGTTCGCCGCCCGAAAAAGCCAAAACCGCAAATATATTCAAGTGGATTGCAGCATCGGTCCCATCAACGAGCTAAACAGTGCAGCTCCGCCAAAAAACAACCAAAAAAAAAACCGTCCGGCATTTTCAAGGTGTGGGTTTACGGCGACTTGTCTATCCATCGACCATCCGTTGCGCCGAACAATGTCCGTGTGCAGCAACACTCGACATTCGCGATCGTGAACTGTGGTGCAAGGGACGAGTTGCGGACAAATAACTTTTGACACCGTAGTATTGGTACAGGTCGTGCTTTTTCGCTCATGTGCTGTTTCCTTGGAAATTTGAACGATGGACAATAAAGAAGCAAGTGAAGACGAAAGTGAGGATGTCACGGAAGCATCGGAAGCCCTGGAAGCTACGTCATCCGTCATAGAAGATATGGAAGTCGTCTGTGCTCAGCTACAACCGCCGAGCTGCCCAAGTAAGCTGTTCTTGTTTGTGTTTGGTTTCGTTTGAAAGAATAATCTTACCTCCTCTTTTCTTGTATTCCAACACCTTCTGATAGTCATGGAGCTTTCTCACCTAACCTATCTTCTTCAAGAAAGTTTTTACAGTTTCATGGTTTCATTTTCCATTCCTTGTTTCTTTTTCACCTTGTGCCTGTACCTTTGCACTTCGAGCTATAAACTTATCCCATTTGTCAAGAGACAATCCGCTCACTCTGTTGTATGTACTCAATTTTGAAGCACCTTAATGATTTTAGTTCTGATTTTGATAGGGTTTATTCATTCGTGATGAATAATGAATCGTTGTAGTTGGACAGCCAAGCACACCAGTTTTTCGTCCAGCAGATGTTGAACAAGTTATAGAGCGGTATGGGCAATTGGTAGAAAAGTTTCAGGTGATTGTATAATTTCATTCTCTCATGTCCTCTCGCACAGCTTTTACTCATTCCTCATCCGTTGCGCATTTATAGTTCGACCAAGCTCGGGAAATTGTCGAGCAGTATTCCCAGTCGTTATCAAGGTCTGTGGTGATTATTAATGAAAAAGATGTTTCATGGGCTGCACTTCTGTCCTTCCTTAGTATTGGTAAGTATCCTATTTTTTCAATTGCTTTCTTACAACCATGTCTCTCTTCAGATTGCAAACTGTGATAAGAACTACTATCTGCTCTCATTCCTCCAGCCCAGGGCATTCTTTCGAAAAGAGAACGCACTCAAAAACCAATATTACCAGATCAGGTCCGCTTTCTCGGTGTTACTCCCTCCTTATGATATCATTTCAATAAATACTTCAGCAGTATAAAACTTTACTTTAGTGAAAAACTTGTGCGAGCTTGTCCATCAGCGGCGCTCCCTGATGCTGGCTCCAGCTCCGCGACATTAGCTGACCATATCATGGCACAGTGCCGACAGTATGTGCTTGCTCGTGTCGAAATGATCAGCATCTACACCACAATCGCAAGTTTAGGTCAGTTTTCAGGATTTTACTAGATCACTTATACTTCTGAATATTATTTTTAGTCACTTCTTGAATCTAATCTGATGAGTAACTTTTATGAATACAGCACATATTAAATATATCTTATATCTCTTAAATATATCAAATATATAACATCTAGCAGAAATAGGATAAACGATAAAGAGGATAAACGCATTCTACTTCCATTTGTACATTCGTAGTGGCGTTTGAATGCGATGTGGCCTATACAATGACTTGCGGGGGCCAGCCGATGTACAAGTCAGTGTTTTCCTCCCAGACAAGTCTGGTACCAATTAACCGACCCCGGAGGGATGGAAGGCTTGGTTGGCCCGGGCGACTCACGACCCAGGATTTGATCCCCGGACCGCTCGCGTGGTAAGCGTGCCACTTGCCACTACACCACTTCCGCCCATAGCAGGAATAGGGAAGATCTTCAGAATATCTGACTCACTAAAGTTTTGCCCTTTTTTGCCATCGATTCCATCTTTTTAAGCCTACTGCATGTTTTCTGTGCTACTAACTTGTTTACTCATAAATTGCAATAACATTCATCTTTCACTGAATGTCGCGAATTTCAAAAGTTGGTGGAACAACAGTCAAACATGGGATGAAGAGAAAGGCATGGCTGGGTTAGGTGCTGTAGTAATTGACACGCGCGGTGATCTGAATTAGATCATATTTACCAGATAGTATCAGTTGTCATTTTTCAGCGAACGACCGAGTTATTCTATGGGATTCCTTGCATGCACGTGGAGTTCGGGTATCAGAAATGCTCAAATCTTGTCATCATCACTCACTGTTTTCAATGGCTCACCTTCTTTCTGGTGAAATCGACGTTTTACTTCTGCTTGTCTCCGCACAAATTCACATCTCTAATTGCAAGGTGCTTTTAACTTTTGCTTAGAATTTGAGAATACACTTATTCGTAGGGAGTTGATTCCTTTCCAGATGTTTGAAAGCCTTCTTCAACTGAAGGAAATCAGGGAACGATTCGATTATTGGGTTCGCGATTCGCATTGCTTGAATCCTGTCAACAAATCGGTTTTCTACTTCTTCAGGTAGATAATTTTTCAAACGAAAGTTGAATTCATGAAAATTTTGCTTCCTACTCTTTTGGAATCTCCAGCTATTTGCTCGAGTTACATCGTTCCTTTTGGTAAGGATGTGAAAGTGACATCTCGTGAAACTCTCTGTAATTGCGTTGATTTCTCCTCTTTCCTTTTATACTTAGTTTTACCTTTCTTCCGGTAGTTTCTAGTGCTTTACTACTGCTTGAACCTTCTTATAGACATCTTTATCTCTTCAAGGTCGACTGAGAAACTGCCTCGAAATCGTCTGATAAATTGGTTGATTCAGTTCTACAATTTGCTCATGGCTAAATTCTCCCTATACTTTACAAATGTACTAGCAAATTTTTGTAGCGTGGACGACCTCAAGGTAGGAGTTACTCCATATTTCATCGCGAGAGCATTTAAATTAACTTCGGTCACAGTTTGAAATTTTAGATCATTCACACAATTGACAACGGATATAATTTCATATCAAATGCTACCCAAATAGTGAAAAAAACCGACGCTGTTTGCTTAGCAATAGTAATGGATCGAGAAAATTGTACCGAAAATTTCTATGGTATGCTTTGGACGGCTATATTCCTTCTCTACGGAACTTTTCGCCAGTGAAATCTCTTTTGTACAGGTTTTGGTTATAATCGGCTAAAGGATCGCTTCACTCCTGGGCCACCAACGGAGCCACGCAAGGGATTAGCAGCGCTATGTCCTGTCGTATTTCGGTTGCCATCTCCAGCGGAAGGACACAAATCTGTGAGGGTTCTTCACATTTAGACCTGGATTATATAATCCACCAATCGAATCTAATTCATGGTTTAGGCTCAATCACATAACGACGTATTCGAGAAATACCAACCGCACATATATGCTTTCATTCAGTCGAACCTGCGATATCCAGCTAAAAGCAAATATATCTACGATGCGGAAAGAGATCACGTTAGTCTTTTTTTCTTAGGGCATGTTTGGGATCAAACTTTAGTGATTTTTGCTCACGAATGTGAAAGTATTGGTGCGAAACCTGCCGAAAGTAGAGAAAAAAGGATAATATCCTGCCAAATGCTCAGGTTAAGAGTGTGCCCGCCTTCGTAATGCGGCTGTGTTTTCCATTAGGCATGAGAGAGTGAGGGAGGAGAGGAGAGGATGAGCACAGAAAGCGCAAGGGATGAGAGGGCGTCCTAACAACGCTTTGGCATAAACGGAAGGACCAGTTGCAGCTGCTGCAGCGTAACTTGCAGACCGTGTGGTCAGCGCCCTTGTCAAACGCTCTCCATGCATGTGAGTGCCATATCTGAATTGTCCTGTAGGGGTCTATTCTAGAGGCTGAAGCGGGTCGTTCAAACGCTTCCTAACCGATATTACTTCCCACGTTTTTCATCATTCATTTACAATTGGATTTTTTTTGGTTTGGCATTGGTTTATTTTCTCTGAAAGATCACACAAGACTATGATCAATTTACAGTGCATGTTCGGTGATATAGTCGAGGCGAAACTATATATTGTGGTAGTGTATGCTGGTCGAGTTTGTGAGAAGGACGCTACGATGCTGACATTCATTCAGCAGATGACCACCTCACTGAGGGGATCTCGTTTATTCCTATCATTAAAAAATGCAGCCAAAGTATGGGAGATTGCATCGATTTCCATGTGATTTTGTTTTTCATCCATCTGTTCTTTTCAAATTCTGAACCTTTCATTTTGTCTTCAGATGACTTCATCTGATTTTGAATTGGGGTGAATGGGGCGTCAAATTTGTATATAGGAAATACATTTAATAATACCACCATTCTTATTCTTATTTGCTGCTTTCGCTTTTGTCCAATCAAGTAGCTTTCAAGCATGCTAACTTGGTTGTAATCCATATAAGCCTTGATGGTGTGTTTTCAAATTATCACTATGTTCTCATTTCTGACTCTGGCTGATGGACATCACGTGACTTGTAAATTATTGAGCAGGATGCAGAAGTGGCAAAGAAGAGAGGTATCTGATTAAATAGTGATTATCAAGAAGGTACTGTCCGGTTTTGAGAGCGAAATTTTTATCAGAGGCTTTAAGATTTTTTCTGCACCCATTACCTTTCGTGTATGTGATACTTTCTATGCTATAACATTTTATTACTAATAAAGTACTGTACATAGAAAGTAATAAAAATAAGTTACTGACTTCCGACATGCTTCATTGAAAGACAGAGGTGTATACAATGAATAAAGGTGACATCAGAGTCGTACACTTAATTACAAAACTACGCTCAGACTTTGAGTATATGCTCCAATTTTTCACTAAGTTCGCCATCCAACTTAAGGGATTCCTTGATTGATAACATTCTTGAGTCAATTCGTTTGATTTCACATTGTAATGTGGCAAGCTCACAAACAATCTAAAAAATTATGTTTTCAGAAAAAAAAACTTTGGTTTGCAGAGAAAACACTATGGATTCATTCGTGCTGTTCGTTGATACGCATGGAACTTCTGGTCCAGAGGGTAGAAAATTAAAAAAAGAAATATGCAACTGCCCGCTTCCACTTTTTACCAAAACATCACCAATATTCATGCACGTTTCGGGTGTGGTTCACTAGTACAGAAAGCGACTTTTTCGCGTTTCGCAGCGCGGAACATTTTCGCTGCGGGAACCTCAGGTCCACAGTGGACCCGAGGTTCCCGCAGCGAAAAATCAGTGGACCCGAGGTTCCCGCAGCGAAAAATGTTTCGCGCTGCGGAAACGCGAGAAGTCTCTTTCTGTCCTAGTGAACACCACCTCACGTTTCCACCACTCCTTGTTGAAATCTAACAGGAGGATCCTTTCATAGGATACTTCAAGAACGTCTAATTATTTAATTACGGTTTTTGACGCTCGAAGCACAACTAGCTTCACTAGCATTGTACGCACCCACAACGTGAAAGTGAATTACTGCAAGAACGCTTGTTAAGAGGCAAAAACGCTTGTTAAGAGATATTCCGCTGTAATTTCACCTCGAGAGCGGAGTGCATCGTCTTTCGGGCTTCCTTGGCACATAGCGGCTCGAAAACACCGAACGGTCGGAAGTTAGGAATATGCTTCACTTTTGGCTTATCATCCTCTTGTTCCTTTTTCGGAGCCTCATCTTCTTTACGTTTGCGGACCTAAACCTGATCATTACGCGACACGAATTGAAGTTTTTCAACACCACACCTTAGATTCACTTTCGTCTCCACTACTCGCCTCCACACCGTCTACGAGCGTGAATTTCCCATCATTGAACGCGGCTCTGAACTAAGGAAGCTGGACACTTCGGCATAAGAGCTACACATTTGAAGAATCTTTGACCACTCTACCAGTAATACTAATCTATAAAACAGGAGAGACTTCGCACCTAGTAATTGCTTCTGGAGATTGAACGTCAATACTGAAGATAGACGAAAGAGCAACTCCTTGAAGGGTTCTGAACAGCTCTTACAGATACAATATTCAATTTCTAATGCTCTACTTTTGCTACGACATGGACTACGCAAACGGAAAATTACCTTGCTTTCGAAATATCACTTCTCGCCGAACTCAGATAGTTTTCCAGTTGAATAACAAGCTTATAGTAGTCTGATACAAACTGCAACCTTTCAAATGAAAGGGAATTCAATTCCTCCATTGGTTCACTTCTGCTAAATGTGATAATTAAGGAGGAGACTATTGAAGTTCCAATTAGGTAAGTTTAGAACACAGAACTTTACTTTGGAATGTCCGAGTCCTCTACAATTATGAGTAGAGATAGATTTCTTTGACAGCCTCCATCCCTATCTCTATTTTGTGAAAATGATGAACTCAGCAAAATCAATTTCTGTTCGTGGACAAAACGGAACGCCACATTCAATGGTTACCAATCGAATTGATAAGCGAAATCAAACAGTAAGGCTGAATACAAAAAATCTACGCTTTCCATGATTTGACCATATTGCCTCTGCTTCATGATTTTTTCTCGAGACCCTCCATAATGACTCCTACCCTTTACGTATTGGCACGGGCGCAATGTGGCTCCGGAGGGGGACAGCTCGTAACATTGCTCAGGTTCATGGAAACATCAGTTTAAGGACTAATGGTAAGCTACAGAGGAGAAGAGTGAATCCGAGGTGCGTAAGCAGTTCTCATTCTCTCCGGAATTCGTTTTCTCCGTTAGGCTTAGTCCTAGTGGCCTTCATAAAGACTGCCCCCTGCCCCCCCCCCCCCAAAGTCACACCTTGGCAGGTTAACCTCGTCGACAAGAGAAACTTCACTTCATACAACTACAGCACAATCGCACGATTTGCCCACGAAGAGGTACCACTCCTATATTTCATGGACCAACCACAAATTCCTAAGCAAACTTTAGGTTAACAAAAATATAACTAAACAACACCGTTCTCTGTTGACAAACACAAGAATTAGAAAGGTAACAGAGTCCACATAACAAATGGCGTGATGATCTTCGATTTCCAAATGTTCCGGTGGGGTACGGTAGCAGCAAAATGACGATATCTGCATGCGCGGTCAACGCACTTCTGAACGTCTCAGCTGACCGAGCTTCTTGAACTCACTCGTTCTTGGTGGGATTTTTCATGGCTAGTTCCATTCATGTATTGCTTTTCTGCATTTCGCCTGCAAATATGCTGATTAGATAAGCACCCTTGGGGAAGCATTTCGTCTACGGTAGCTGTTGCTCGGAGATGTGGGACATTCTTTTGTTAGCGAACAGCATAGTCAAAATGTGATCCTTCTTATGCATTAATTTTCTCTCATGATAGAACAGTGGTGCTGAACTCGTTTGTTGGATTGGCGCTCATGCCGTTGGAGTGGGGGAGAGATTCAAGTGACTGAGCCAGTTATTGTATTTGGGACCTAGCCTCAATTGAAGAGGAATTGTAGGAGGATGTGAGCAAATTTTGTTCTCCCTGGCGTTTCTTCCCTTTCTTGGGCTTAGCCTTAAAGGGCGCAATGTGGCTCGGGGGGCCACTCTGAGAAAAGTCATCTAGGACTAAGCCTAAACAGCAGGGACGAACTCCGGAGAATACGAAAATTGCTTCCGTACACCGGAGTTCCTCTCCTCTTCAAAAGCTTAGTCCTAAAACGGAGCGTTTCCGTGATTTTGACGCGATGTTGCGAGGTGGCTACCCGAGCCACATTGCGCCCATTAAGGCTAAGCCCAAGAAAGGGAAGAAACGCCAGGGAGAACAAAATTTGCTCACATCCTCCTACAATTCCTCTTCAA